TAAGAAATAGGAACATTATTGTGTAAAATTGACTTTTTTGAGTTTTACATCATGTTATAATTTTATTCCCTCTCAACAACATACTTGGAGTGTTGATTTTATTCTTTTATGGATGTTTAAGAAATTCTTGAATCTCCCATGGCAACCATTCAGGTGTGCAAAACACCTATTTGGACCTAGCTAGCCAGCTGCAATTAGCAAACAGCTGGTGGAACTGTTTATCTGTTACTTCACATTGTGACGCTGTAAAAATGTTGTTAAAGGGTTAATAGAAGAGCCATGGTGTGATGACTTCCTGAAGGCAGAGTTTCAGAAAGAGCAGGAATTTCTGAAGAGATGGAGGCCCAATTTCAAGGCGTCACATTATGAAGTCAAATTTCTTTTAAGTCATATTTGACATATGCAGTATTTTTGTCACAACTGAAGGTTGTGCTGCAGAATGATACTATATGGCTGGAAATCACATAATACTGCCCCTATAGACAAGGTTATCTGCTCCATAGATTGATTACTGTAAAACAGGGTAGCTTGTTCCTAGTAAAAAGGTGTTGGTTAGTGCTCCACTTTTAGACAAACCATGGCACTTTTGTTACTAAAAACTAAAAAAAGAAAAATCCAGACAAAGATTTAACACTACTAGACTAATAGAGTAGTCACTACTAGACTAAGAGCTAACAGCAACAGGTGAGGGACAGGAGAACCTTGAAAAAAATTCTCATTGAAATTAACATTGTTTTAAAATGGCTGCTTCATATAGTTGATCTTAAACCATATATTCCCTCCTTTTCAGGGGAAAAATGATTCCATCTGCTCTGGAAGAAAAAATACAGCTGGCAAAAAGTGAGGTGAGCCACCCAGCTTATTTTAGTGTGTGTGTGTGTGTGTGTGTGTGTGTGTGTGTGTGTGTGTGTGTGTGTGTGTGTGTGTGTGTGTGTGTGTGTGTGTGTGTGTGTGTGTGTGTGGATGGGGGTGGCTTTACTTTTTGCATCTTTCATATGTCTTTGCCTGTTTGCACACACGTGTCTCTTCAGGGTGCAGTTCCATTCTTCGTAAATGCCACTGCTGGAACAACAGTGCTTGGCGCGTTTGATCCTATCGATGAGATCGCCAACATCTGCGAGAAGCACAACCTGTGGCTCCATGTGGATGTGAGCTGCTCCACTGGTTTATTACCCCAGGTCTCCACAGCAGCTCACATCATCATTGTTGTATTTTTATTTTCCTCAGGCATGCTGGGGTGGAGGCGCTCTCGTGTCGAAGAAGCACAAGCACTTGTTAAAAGGCATCCAGAGGTGAGCAGCAGCGCTGTCAGTGGGTATTTTGTGCCCGTTTGGGTCACACGTATGTAGATGAAAGCATCTGTTATGGACTGGAGCTCCACTCCCTAAAGATCTCATTTATAAAGATTATAAACAGCCAGAGTTTATTATTATTCACCCCCCAAATGAGAGATAATAAACATCACGCTAATTAAGTGTTAGTTCTAAAAACATTCTGAGTTCTGAACCAGCAGAATAAGATGACTCCCTCTGGAGGATACATCACATAAAAGTGACTCAACCATTCAGCTAAAATTTGAGATTTACTATTTCTGTTTGTTCCTGATTAGAGTCAATTCTGTTGCCTGGAACCTTCACAAAATGCTGATGGCTACCCTGCAGTGCTCAGCCTTCCTGGTCCGAGACAAGAGTGTAAGAGAGCATGATTATTACCTGATCTGTTGCAGAGATATTTTTTAAAAAGTAACTATAATGGAGGCAACAATCTGCATTTTTGTACTAGCGTAAAACAATATTTTAGCTCCCCTAAAGTTGAATATTTTTCACAATAGTATTCAAGCTTTTTTTTTTTTCTTTTTGCAAGTGTCTCCTTCAGCGCTGCCACTGTGCTGGGGCTTCATACCTCTTCCAGCAGGACAAGTTCTACGATGTGAGCTATGACACTGGGGACAAGTCGGTCCAGTGCAGCAGGAAGCCGGACGCCTTCAAGTTCTGGCTCGTGTGGAAAGCTGTAGGCACCAGAGAGCTGGAGTACAGGGTGGACAGGGCCCTGGCTTTGGCCCGGTGAGTCCGGGAAGACGAATCTGGGATGGTTTACTTTTTTTACAGAGAGTTATACACAAGGGTGAAAGTAGGGGGGTACGGTCGGGTACTGCATACCCCAAAAAGATTTAGCAGAGGTACGCAGTACCTGCAAGAGAGGGGAGCGGCTGTCTGCTGTAAAGAATCAACGGGTTCACCCACTAATCAGCCATGACTGATTAGTTTTTCAAGAACAATCCAAAGCACGACTTAATCAGTTAATAAATAGCTAACCCTCACCCAAAATTCAGTCCAGTCACTCAAAGACTCAAAATCTGATACATAAAATCCACAATAGTTATCAAACAAGGCAGTCAAGTTCGCTTTATCATTCAGTTTAAGAAAAAGTTTTCTAAGTAAACCCAGCAGATTGCATCAAGTTATTGACTCGCAGGAATTCACCATACATGGCATGCATAGCCACAGTAGAGAGGAAATCTCCCCTTTAACAGGAAGAAACCTCCAGCAGAACCACAACCTGTGTGAACAGTCTGATTTTAAGAAGTCAGATCATACACATCACTCTCTTCTGATTTTAAATCTTCTTTGTGATGCAGGTATCTCGCACAAGAGATCAAAAAAAGAGAAGGATTCAGATTGGTAATAGAGGTGGGTTTTTCTTTCAACCAATATATGTATAATTCCTGATATATTCATTGAGGTAGTTATTTGTAAAAGTTATCAGATATGTGACACATTTCCATGTCTAAACTATTTCGTTTTGACAAAAAAAACAAAACAAAAAAAAAATGTCATTCACAGCCTGAGTTTGCAAATGTTTGCTTCTGGTACATTCCACCGAGTCTGAGGAACCTTCCAGAAAGCCCCGAGCTGTGGAAGAAGCTACACACTGTAAGGAGTCTGTTTTTAATATGTTGGCATATGAAGGTTACATTAGCTTCAGTATCTTTGTTCAGCTAGAGTTGCAGTATGCAACTTTCATTAAAAAAATATGACTTTTACATATTTGTTAAAACTATCACAATGTTGTAACAGATAATCTGTGAAGAGTTTGATCTCCACCTCCTCCCTTTGCTCCAACTGAAAACAACCAATCAGAGCCAGCAGGCGGGTCTTAGTGCTGTCACTCATTCTCATGTACTCACTTCTAAATGAGCTAATGGTGGAGAAACTATTTACCATTACTGGAAAACAGTTTATCTGCCATCTGCCATCCTCAGCATCCACAACAAACTATGCTAGCTACAGCGTGGCAAAGAGTAAGGGCGAAGGAGGTCTTTTTCTCACAGATTCTCATACCATAGTGACAGTTTCATCAAATATGTAAAAAAATAAGTGTTTATAAAAGTTACTGCAGCTTTAATCCTTGAATCATGTTGGTGAACAGTAAATTATGCTTTTTTTTTCTTACACGTACCGCTTCTGTTTTTTTTGTTTGTTTTTTTTTTTTTAGCTGAGTTAGATGGTAAAACATAAGAACTGCTTTTACTCATCTCTTAGGACCATGAAGCCAATGTTTAGCAAACAGTCCATGATTTTTAAGCATGTGATCCTCAGTCTTTCATTCCTGAACCAGACCTCTACTGGAACCAGTCTGTAAGTGTAAAAATTAGACAGTGAAAGTTGTAGCCTCTCTCTTTCGCCTGCAGGTGGCGCCAGTAGTTAAGGAGCGTATGATGAAGAAGGGCAGTATGATGATTGGATATCAGAAGCATGGAGACAAGCCCAACTTCTTCCGGATGGTGGTGATCAGCCCTCAGGTGAGCAAGCAGGATTTGGATTTTGTCCTGGATGAGATACACAGGCTGGGAAAGGACTTGTGATCCAGGACGGGTTTCCATCAAGAGCTTTTATTCATCCACTGTGGATGGACTTGAAAGTCCATCATTTTCTGGAAGCTAAATGAATCAACAGAAGCTGTAGTTGTAACGACAGACTGTACCATCACCTGGATCCTGGAAAGACAACTGATGATCTGTATATATGCAACAATTTTTATACTTTGTATCCATACAAAAGCAATAGAGGAGCTATAATTCCCCAACATTGTCAATCCACAAAAATGTATTAAATATTTTTGTCTAGTCTATGAATTTGATGTATTTTAAATTTTAACATGTTTGAACATTTTGTATGTACACTGAACACCACTTTTTCCTTTTTATATTCAGTGTTGTGCCTTCATTTCCATTATTTTTGTGCTATTTTCTTGAGTTTACTTGTAGTATTAGTTATTGTTTTTCCATAAAAAGTTTTTCAAAATAGCACTAACTTATGAAGTTTAAGTTTTCATCCTCACATCAAACAGTAGCTGTGTTTCTATTAACCATAAAATTGCACAAATTGAAATTCTGAAATAAATGTTCTTAATGTAAATATGTTTGACAACAGACCTCTTTTATTAGCTACCCACACTTATACCGGATTACAGTCCAAACTGTAGAAAGTTACTGTACAGCTTAAGACAGAGATGCTGAAATCAGAAGTACGGTCAGCCTCCAGTTATCCAGTTCATCAAAGCCCTCATAATCATCATCATCAGAATAATTACTGTCAGGCACAGCACTGACAGTAATGATCAGGCACATGGTTATTGAAGGGCTTACAGCTTCACCTTCATAAGCTGTTGCCATAACAGCAGCAGCTGCAATTTGTACTTGTACAGTTTTTATCTATGATGTTTATATAGCACAGTGTAAGATATCCAAATGTTAGAGGTCACTAAAATAACTATTATTAAATAGATACAATTCTGAAGCACATGAATAAGTTGTCCTACATGTTTCATAAATGTTCTGCCTGAGATGTTCCCCGTGTCAAACGATTTTGTGAACACTGCTATAACCAGACAACATTTATTTTGAGAGGAGAGAATGTGGGGTCAGTGGATACATCTGACCTTATGACCCATGATCCTGAAGTCTCATTTACACAGTGGCGATAATGAACGACACACACGCTTCAGAACGACCAGAGATAGTTGGTTTATTATTGTTCCAGTTCCATGAAAAAATATTTCTGACACAAAGTATGAATCTGAAGATGACATGGAAATAAACATTGCACTCTTACAACACTGTGTGCTGAAAACTACTTGCATAACCAAATCTAAACCTGACACCCTAAACTTAGATCTCTTAGCTTTTCACACTCGTGATATCAACAGCTTCCTCAATTGAAAATATGAGGAAGAGTCACTGAGGGTAAAAGTGCCAAAAGTAATATATTCCAAGTACAAATTTCAACCCTGATGGCGTTATTAATGCAAAATATGCAGGGACATGATTCTGCAAATGATTCTTTATAAACTTACAGAAGATATGATGAACCTGATAAACTGTCAGCGTATCATAAATCCTTTCCCAGGCTGTGTATCTCATCCAGGACAAAGTCCATGTCCTGCCTGCTGACCTGAGGGCTGATCACCACCATCCTGAAGAAGTTGGCTTGGCCTCTGTGAGGCTGGTAGCCCACCATCATGCTGCCCTTCTTCATCATGCGTTCCTTAACAACTGGCGCCACCTGGAGGCACAGGGGGCAACAAAAGATACTAACTAAAAACTTCATAATAATGCATCCAAACTCAAACAACAATCCACAACAGCATGCCAAAGTCTACAGCAAGAACTCATGACTCATAGGTTCAAGGTTCAAATCTAAATTTTAGATACTGGCACAGATCTGAAACTATTTCTGATGAACAGATCAGACTGATTAAATTTGTCTATATCTCAGTAGCCAAAATAAATAGCTTTTTAAGCAGCAGGGTGAAAACCCATCTATTGACTGAAAAACATAAAGGGCACTCCAATTTGGAATTTATTTGAACTTAAAATTGATCATCAAAATTACTTTGATATAACACACCTTTCTTAACATAGAAGAATGGGTATATATTGACAAAAATGACCAAAAGAGCTGTTCTCATAAACTAAGTGCAGGTTGTAATTTTGAATGTTGTGTTGACCTAAGGAACAGCTGAGCCTTGTGTGGACAAGCTTTGTGTGTGAAATTCTTGACCATTCTTTCTTGTTGTACATCTTCAGCTGGTCAACAGTCTGGGGTCTCCTTTGATATGCTTCATGACATGCCATTCATTTTAAGACAGGTCTGGACTGCAGACAGGCCAGCCTAGTACTATATTATAGAGCCAATGTATTTTAATACATACAGAATATGACTTGGCATTGTCTGGCTGGGATAAGCAGGGGGCTCCATGAAAAACATGTTGTTCCAAAACCTGAATGTACCTTTCAGCATTAACGGTGTCTTCACAAGTTACTCATTCCACACACATGCCAGTACCATCACAGACACTAGCTCCTGAACTGTGTACAGGGAACAATCCGGACGGTTCTTTTCCTCTCTGGCCTGGCGGACACCACCATCAAGATTTTAAAAAAATCTTCACGTTGCGTCAGCCCATCGTAGATGAAATGGGCCTCAGGGAAGCCGGCGATGTTTCTGGGTGTTATTGATATATGGCTTTCATTTCACATAGGAAAGGTTTAACTGGCCCTTGTAGATCTAGTGACAAACTGTACTTACTTACAATGGTTTTCTGAAGTGCTCGTGAGCTCATGTGTTACAGAATGATGTCGGCTTTTAATGCAATACCACCTGAGGGATCGAAGGTCACGGGTATTCAGTGCTGCTTTCGGCCTTCCTGCTTACTTGCAAATATTTCTTCAGATTTTCTGAATATTTCGATGATGGCTTCGACTGTAAAAGATGAAATCCCTACAATCCTGCTGTTGAGAGACGTTGTTCTTTAACTGCTGGACTATTTGGTCATGCAGTTGCTCACAAAGTGGTGAACCTCACCTCATTCTTGCTTGTAAACATTTTTTAGGGATGACTCACTTGTTTATAATAAAGTTATAATTAAAGGTTCCAAACAAGTGTTTTTTTGAGCATTCCTCAACTTTCCTAGTCTTTTGTTGTCCCTGTCCTTACTTATTTTGGATCGTGGTGCAGGCATTGAATTCAAAATGAGTGAATATTTGCAAAACCATCAAAAAGTTGATCCATTGGAACATTAAATATCCATCCTTTGTAGTATGGCAGAGATAGCTCTATGTATGTATAGTACAACTAAATATTCATTGAAAAGGATTTGCAGATCATTGCATTATATTTTTTTAGGTTTTTCCACACTTTAACAATAACATTGCTTCATTACATACATTGTGTAGTTTTTCCTGGAACTCTGGGCCATCTGGCAGGTCTCTCAGACTTGGTGGGATGTACCAGAAGCAAACATTTGCATATTCAGGCTGCAGAAGAACAAAGCAAAAAATAAATAAATAAATAAATCACACCATTTAAAATTCAAATTAAACATTTAATATTTCATTAATAAAAGGTAAACTTGCCTCCATTACAAGACGGAAGCCTTCCCTTTTTGTAATTTCGTCTGCAAGATACCTACAAAAGAAATTATGCAATGAGTGTAGAAAAAGAGTGCACTAGGTGAAAATGGTAAAATGAAGAAAGGGCATGCTTCAACAACTTGTCAGCGGCTTTAAAGGAGAAAAACATATTAAATTTGGTTTTTGTGAATGTCAAGAATTCATACCTCCTCTTGGCAAATCTCAGTATTAGATTTCTCTGTTTGGAAGAGACACTCTGCGATGCAGAGAGCAATAAGAAGATGGTCACAGGAAGCTGAAATAGCCTTGCAGGGTTGCTTGTTTTGAGGCTACAGACTGGGATGCACTGTGCCAGCCACAAAGAAAGGACATCAATGTTATGACTGAGTGTCTGATAGACTGTATAAACTTCTGTGTGGACAGCATCATCCCCACCAGAACAACCAGAACAGTGAGAAGCTTCCCCGGTAACAAACCTGGATCACCAGTGAACTAATGGAACTGATAACCAAGAAAAGAGAGGCTTCAGAGAGAAATGATCACAGAAGCAACTTAAAGTCAACATTAGAGACAGCAAGGAGCTGAGGTTCAAAACGTCACCAGACAGCTGCTTCAGTAAACCCACTGTCACCTGAACGAAGCAGGAAGCACTGAGGATCAATGTTCTGTCTGATTTCACGTCAGAAACTCCAGAAGACACAGATGGACGCCTAAATAACCACCTGAAAAACAGATCGCGGTCTATGTGTCTGCAAGGATGATGTCTATAAGAAGGGGGAAGCAGACTTTACTTCTTGAGGAAGGTTAGGTTCTCCAGTGTTTGCAACAAGACGCTGCATTTTTTTCTGCAAGCGTTGTGGAGAACTCAATCTCTCCCACCATCATCTGCTAGGGCAGCAACAAAGAAGATCAACAAGCTGATTGGGAAACAGTTCCAGAACTTCCTGAGATAACTATGTAAAGAAGGACTCTTCATAAAATGAAGAACATTACGGATAACTCTGAGCATCCTCTTCATCCAACTGTCAGACAGGAACAGAGTGCCCCCAGTCAGAGACTTTTAGAGAACCATTGTGATACAGACCACAACCGGAGATCATTCCTGGCCACAGCCATCAGAGGCTACAACATTTATTTTCACTTTAGAATGAATAATATATTTTTGAATTGAATTGAATTTAACTTAGTCATTTCAAAGTTTCAAAGCACAGCAAAAGCCTTTCTTAATTCCAGCTGGACAGGTTCCATCCTGATGTAACCAGGCTGAAGTGTTGCCCTGCAGCCAAACTGACCTGGCCATGGCGAGAGCTCTGTCCACCCTCTGCTCCAGCTCACTGGTACCCAAAGCTTTCCACATTAGCCAGAATTTGAAGGCATCTGGCTTCCTGCTGCACTGGACCGACTTGTCCCCGGTGTCGTAGCTCAAGTCGTAGAACTTGTCCTGCTGAAAGAGGTAGGAAGCCCGAGCGGAGTGGCAGCGCTGGAGGAGATGCTGCAGAGAGACAGCAACGCTAAATGTGATGTCCTGTTTTTTTCATCCACTTGCAATTCCTAGGTGTCTTATAAAATGTAAACATCAACATTTTTGCTTAAGTGTTAAAAGGTGCGTTCCATTTCTAAATAACAGAGAATCATCAGAGCTGTTCTTACAGTTTTGTCTCTGACCAGGAAAGCTGAGCATTGCAGACAGGCCATCAGCATCTTGTGAGGGTTCCAGGAAACAGAGTCGACTCTTTACATAGGAACAAAGGTGAGACATTAACCTCGGTGGTGCCATCACAAGAACCTGGCTTTTCTGTATTTCATCATTTCAATGAAAGTTAACATACAACCAAACACAAATTCTCAACTGATTTAAAGGAAACATCAGACTCACACTTGTTACTTGTCTGAATTGAGGGGTAACTTGTTCTTTGGTCTCACTGTTACCGGATGCTGAGCACTACACTTCCTACTGAATATTTTTTGTTAAAGACTTCTTTAGATTTGCAACTAAAGATACTGACTTTAGTTGCAAAGTCAATATCTTTGCAACTAAAAGATATTGACATGGAGAAATATCTTGCGTTAATGTGTATTAAGTTATATTTTGTGTTTGAAGTAATAAAGTAAGCACTTAAAGTCGTCATAAGAGGGTGTCTCAAAAGTGGCCTTTATACATGACAATCATTAGTTTTTAATGCTGTAATGTGCCTGTGTTTGTGTTGCTCCACTGTGCCCTTAAAGTGCTGCTTAGGGACAAATTGAATTGAATTGAATTGAATTGAATTGAATTGAATTGAATTGAATTGAATTGAATTGAATTGAATTGAATTGAATTGAATGAAATTAGCAGATGTTATCTATTCTGGGACGGTTGTGCATCTTTCAAACACGAATGAAATTAACCAGTGAATCACCTGTGAATTCCTTTCATTAGGAGCTTGTGCTTGTTGGACATGAGAACTGCTCCTCCCCAACATGCCTGTTAAAGAGAAAAACAAAATGACCATACATGCTATTGCCATGGTTGCGTTGCGTGAATGAATTCCTTGACTTACATCCACATGCAGCCACAGTTTGTTTTTCTCACAGATATCTGCAATTTCGTCAATAGGATCGAAGGCTCCAAGGACAGTGGTCCCCGCCGTGGCATTCACCATGAAGGGAACTCCACCCTGAATTCAAACACAAGCATTTGATCTGACTTTCTCGCAAAAGTGTTGACCTTACATATCTTTCGAATAAAGTTTCTCACCTCACTTTTAACAGACTCTATTTGCTCCTCAAGAGCAGAGGGAATCATCTTTCCTCTGAAATACAAAAACAAGTTGGAGTTTCATCATAAAATTTCTTCAAAATAAACAAACACATACTTTTACACAACTGCGAAAGAAATTAAACTTTTTGTAGATAATATTAAAATATTAATAATAAAACCAGTTCTGTGAGACTAGATCTGACAGAACTAGAAGCAGCAGAGTTCCAAAACGTGTGTGGTGATTTACCTCTTATCAGACGGAACCACAAAGACATTCTTTGTGCCGATTCCCATTAGAGCTGCAGCTTTTGAGATGGAGTAATGACACTGGAAGAGATCAAAACAGAGTTCATGTGCAGTCAAAACAAAAACCATGAAAAGCCGCTGCCTGATCTTCCTTTTTAAGACTCAAGTCCACTTGGTTGTGAAATCCACCAGTTCAAACAAGCAGGCTCTTTATTACACTGTAACTGATTTTTTTTTTTTTTTTTTTTTTTGACAGGAGAAAAAAAAACCTGCTGCCTTAGTGTGAATCTTGATGGAAGTTTTCTGCTGGGACATGTTGTACATTAACAACCATACCTCTTGTGATGTGAACACCGCCAGCCGGGGAGCTGCAGAGTTTCCAAGCTCCTTGATTTCAGGAAAATGACGGTACCTGGCTAGGTTCAAGGCGTACATGTTGGACATCGACCCACCTTAAAAAAACAAGATGGGACACATTGGGACACCAGATCTACTGACAGCTAGTGAGTGATTAAAGCTGTATGAACACACGGTTAAACCTGCTGGTGGAATTGTGATAAATGTGTGCCATCTGGACAACTTTATTTTACTTATGGAGCTGTGGCTTCTTCTCTGTCAGAAAATACTGAAGGATAAGATTCAGTCATGATCATATTGTCTATGACTTGTGTCTTTATCAAAACAATTCTGTAAAGAAAAGTAGGCAAAAGTTCCTCGGCAAGGTAAAAATACTCATTTCCTATCAACAATGCCAATTCTTGACTGCCTTCATTAAGTGAGGAAGTTAACTACCTTTTCACACAGGGTCGTCTTGGTTTTGGGCTTTATTCAAGCCTCAACTAAATCATTTGATCCCTGCATTCGTCCCAGATGATATTTCATTTGATGATTTGAAACATTTTAGTGGGACAAAAAAGAAACAAGGAAAGTTTTAAGGGGACAAATACTCTTTCATTGTTTAATATCTGGTTGTGAGCTGACTGCCAGTGTAAACTAATACCTGCGTTAAAGAGTCCATCTCCTCCTTCCTCCCAGCCAACTGTCTGTATCAGCTTCCTGAGCACAGCATTCTCCATCAGAGTGAAGACTGGAGACATCTCATAGGTGTACCTGAGCAAAATGACACGTTTCCCCATCAGCATCCTTCATCCTACGATATAAAAGCCTGTAAGGCTCAATTAATTCATATTAATTAATATTAAGTGAGGGTCTCACAGGCTGGGTTTGAGGGCATCAGTGATGAAGCTAGCCACCAGGGAGTATGGTTCCAGCCCCGCATACAGCTGGTTGAAGAAATGAGGATGAGCTGGAAATGAAACACAAACGGTTCATTCAGGGAGAAAAAAACATCTAGTCACATATCATCACAGAGCTCCAACTAGGACAGAATAATTATGAAAGATTGGAGATTTATAATAACCCTTTCCAGGTTTCAGCTTTCTATGTGATGCAAATTAAAGTAGGGCTGAAACCAAATAAGCATTAACAGGAGTATGCAGACTCCAAAAAGTCTAATTACAAGATATTTACAGCAGTAATGAGACAAAGCTGTACAAAAAATGTATGACTCTTCAAGTCATTCCGTCTCTGTCTGTAAATCTGTTCTACCCAGAACTCCTCAAGTGGTAGTTTTAACTTCACCTGGTTCAAATCTTGTTAAAAATATATCTATTAAGCAACTTCTGCTGTGAAATTACAGATCAGTCAATCCCGCAAAATAATCAAGCAGAAAGAGTTGAGCTTTTTACATGATGTCAGAATGATTTTCATCCTCCGCTACAAATGATCAACCATTTACTAAAGGAATGCTGTTATTGCATTTCAGGGAAAACAATGTTTGCATGCACCTCAATAAAGTAATGCAATAAATTTGCCATGTGATTCATATTAAAATGCCACAACAGTGACACAGTTACACAAATATTTATTTTTAATTGATAAACATCAAAACTTTACACAAACAGTTCAGATTAACATGTAATGAAACTACTATCAAGCATTGAAGAAATGATGATTTACAGTGTTCTTCCCTACAAACTGCAAAGAGAAGCAGCATCCATTGGCAACTGCATTGTCACTTAGCGAGTCATGATGAGATTGCAAAAGTACCCAGGCACAGCGAACCTCTAGTTCAGTGGTGGGAAATATTTAATGAAAAAATATTGGCTTACAAAAATACCAAAAAAATGAAAAACAAACTCAGTCCTGAAACAGGAAGAGCTCGGATAATAACCAGTAGGATCCAGTGGATTTCTCCTTCTCATTGTTCATCAGACACCACTGAAGTTTGGAATAAAATGTAAGAATGAATTCACAATAAGTACATGAACGCCACTGGCATCATAAATTAAGCCACAATCAGCCATACATATATACAGACTTGGGCCACATAAACTATACCACTATGGTATGTTCCACATACCACATGTTATGTGGTATGGTAGGTACATACCACATAGTATGTGGTATGTTAATTTCCAGAACTGGTCCAATAATACCAGTTGCCATGTCAGCAGTCAACCAGCAGTGCTGTCCTGACATCACACATGGCCCAGACCTGTCTGCTCCCTAATAGCTACTAAGCTATTTTATATAGCAGCTATTTTATATAGCCCAATGACAATTCTGTCATTGGGCGACGGTTAATGGGAGGAGTCTTTCTATAGGAAAGTTGTGTGTTTTATTCTCGTGTCACATACTGCAATATGTAACTTTGATAAAAATGGGTCTTTTATATATTTGTCAAACTTGTCTTGACAGTAACACAGAATATCTGTGAAAAACTCGAGCTCCGCTGCCTTTTTCCAGTGCTCCCACTAACTGTAGAAATACACCACTAAGTCAGAAGCAACCAATCAGTGCCAGGAGGAGGGTCTTAGTGCTTTCAAACACTCTCATGATCATCCTCTACTCTTGCTCTCTGCTATGCTACAGCTGGTTCACTACAATATAGCCTGCCATGAATGCTAGGCTAGTTAGCATGGCCACCGATGACAGTGGATAAACAGCTTCCCTGTAAGTAACTGTAACTTGTTTCTCCGCCATCAGGACATTGAGCAGTACTGAGTGATAGCACAAAGACCCTCCTCCTGGCTCTGATTGGTTGTTTTTGGTCCATTTCTTCAGACGACAACAGCAGCACAGGGAGGAGGAGAAGGAAACTGATCTTTTCACTGGTGAATGTGGTTCTATTGTGGAGTGCTTTGACAGGATGATTAGTAAATGCTATATAAATTCACTCTGTCTAGACCAGGGGTGGGAAATCCTGGTCCTCGAGGGCCAGTGTCCTGCAACTCTTAGATGTCTCCCTGGTCCAACACACTTGACTGCAGCTGAATCACCTCCTCAGTNCAGTCAGGTT